ACCGGGGGTTACCCCGACCCAGGGGCAGGACCTTGCACTTGGCCTTGTTGACCCTCATGAGGTTCACACAGGCCCACCTCTCCAGCCTGTCCAGGTCTCTCTGGATGACATCCCGTCCTTCTGGTGTGTCAACCGCACCACTCAGCTTGGTGAAAGGATACTTGGATAAAGTCCTGTAGTGTAGCGAGAAGGGTTATTGTAGTGACTGAAGAGTTTTCCCATAACTGATTTGGTTACTTTTTATATGTTTTCACTGTAAACATGTCGCTTTCATGGCATGTTGTAACAAAAACTTTGAGTGCATAAAGATTTAATTTGGAGTCACTACAAGTTTGGGAAACCCCTAGTTTGATAACTAAACTGCATTTTCAGTTTCTAAGCTAGAATGGATGTGAACTATTTAAAGATTTGTTCTGAAATTGGGGAATGTGGGTAATGGGTCATGCTGCAGTGGCTTTGTGGAAGAGGCAGGGCTGTCTGATAACCTTAAGAATTTTTCTCTTCCTAAAAGCTTAGAGGGAGCGAAAATGCACCAAAATATCTATGTCTCAATTTAAAAGCAAGCTGTACTTGCAGGTTAGTTTTTCCAAAGATATGTGGCACAGTAAATCTCTAATATTAAAAATCTCCTTTTTTGACATTCCTTTTGAGAACAAGTATGTAATTATTCCTGGAGGGGTGTGCTGTACGTATCGAGCTTGGCGATGTCCTCAGAATGCCCTCGTGTTTCCAAGCTCAGACACAAGGAGTGGAGCAAACTGCCTTCTGTCTTGCAGAAAGGGAGCTCTTTTTTTGACAACACCTTGGCGACCGCCTCTCGATTTTTGCCCTGGACAGAAATACAAAACATCCTGCCCTAAGCACAGTCCCTGGGTACTCAGGCGTCACCTTATGACAAACTACAACTTGTTCTTCCTTCCTTTAGATTTGTAGCTGATCAAGACTCTCAGTATTTATGATATGGTGACAACATCACTAACTTGTAGATGCTAAATGCATCTCTTTGGTAGGGAAGGAATTCCGATATGATGGACATGCCTGGTGCTTTATTTTGAGACCTATAGGATAAACAGATCATAAGAAAGTCAGTGTTGTAAAGGACTTTAATAAAAGCATGCTAATGGCACGCAGCTACACTGCTTCATTTCTGATTTAGGCTCAGATGATACGGTTTTTTCTAGAGAAGTTCTGCTTCAGTCACACAGTGGCTCATATTAATCTGGGATTTCTTAAAATACTTGTTTCATCGCTTTTAACTTACAGTATTTTTTTTGGTTTAACTGTTACCATCCTCGGGATGATAGTAAGGAGTTTGAGCCCATGCCTGTAGAGGAAAGGCTCAACACTAGGCGGGCCCTCCTAAGCCTGGAACGCTGCTTAGTCTGCACCATGATCCACAGCAGTCTTGGCTGCAATGAGGGAGCCGTTCTAGCAACTTAAGAAAGCTACCACTAGTCAGGGAGAATCTTCTACCACAAAGCATTTTTTTTTTTTAAGTCTGAAAAATTGAGGTTTTTAATTTCTTCGGGTACCTGACTGAGACGCAGTCTTTATTTTCTTGTTTGTGTGGGAGAGTTCAGGTAGGAAACTAGGACGTTCAGCATCTGAGAGTGTGTGTGGGGTAGGGTTTTTTGTTTTGTTTTGTTTTTTTGTTGTGACTAATCATCTAGAAATTCTAGAGGAAAGGTCTGGCAGGCTGTCAGCCGGTTCTTATCTGGCCAGCACAAAATGATTAAATGTCTTTATCCATTGCATTTTTCAGGATGAGGTTGTGCATTCATTGATTTGTTTGCTTAAATTTCTACCGTGAGTGTCCCTGCTTAGGATTCCCACCGTTTCTCAGCCTGGGCTGGTTGCCAGCTGACCTCTTCCTCTGATTTCAAGATGAGAAAAGATGCTGCCTGGTTTGTCAGGGTAACTTCCCAGCCAGAAAGGTGATTCAGTTTAGCTAGTTATTTAGTGCATGAACCCCATTTGGATTCATGAAAGGTAGGTCCTGCCTGACCAACCTGATCTCCTTCTGTGACCAGGTGACCCAACTAATGCACGAGGGAATGGCTGTGGATGTTCTCTACCTGGACTTCAGCAAAGCCTTTGGCACCGTCTCCCACAGCATTCTCCTAGAGAAGCTGGCAGCTCATGGCTTAGACGGGTGTACTCTGTTGGGTAAAAAACTGGCTGGATGGCTGGGCCCAGAGAGTTGGGGTCAGTGGAGTTAAATCCAGTTGGTGGCTGGTAGCAAGTGGTGTCCCCCAGGGCTCAGTGTTGGGCCCAGTTCTGTTTAACATCTTTATGAATGATCTGGATGAGGGGATCGAGTGCACCCTCAGCAAGGTTGCAGGTGACACCAAACTGGGCAGGAGTGTGGATCTGCTAGCGGGGGAGGAGGGCTCTGCGGAGGGACCTGGCCAGGCTGGATCCATGGGCCCAGCCCAATTGGGTGAGGGTCAACAAGGCCAAGGGCCGGGTCCTGCCCTGGGGTCACCACAACCCCA